GAGTGATACCCGTTTCAACAAGATGGCGATGTTTACGCTCAGCCAAGCCATTATGCTCAGGTGTATGAGGTGGTGTAAGAAGATGGCTGATCCCATGATTGACCAATGTGGAACACAATTTTTGGAACTCACCACCACCATCGGAGTAGAGACGACGAATGGTAGTGGAAAAATAATTTTCAACCATCTTTTGAAAAGCAAGAAACACATGAAGAACATCCGACTTGCGTTTCAAAGGGTAATACCAAGTATAACGGGAAAAATGATCAACGATGATTAAATAATAACGAAAACCATCAATGGAGGTGACCGGAGCCGGTCCCCAAACGTCAGTATACAATAAATCAAATGGTCTAGTACTGGATAACGAAGAATGAACAAAGGGAAGCTTGTGACTTTTATTGGCAAGACAAGAGGAACAATGACTACTGATGGGGGGATGATACTGGGAATGAATGAGTGCAAAGCAGACTGGTTAGGGAAGAGGAAGAGGGATGACCAAGACGGGTGTGCCAAGACATGGAGGATGTGCACGTGGTTACTAGAGCAAGATGAACGGTGTCCACATCATGAGGCAGCTCATAAACGTCCCCATTATTTGCCCCCTTCATTAACGGCGCCCCCGTGCGAAGATCCTTCACAACAAAACAATCTGCAAAAAATTCCATCGAAATGGGATTAGTGCGACAGAGCTTGGCAACGAAGACAAGTTTACGCTTGATAGCAGGAGCACATAACACATCATTTAGTTGAAATGAAGCCGTGGAATTGTGCAACGTAGTGGACCCAATATGTGATATTTTCAAACCTGTGTCGTTGCCAACGAGTCTCTCATCCAGGCTAGAGTGATCGGAATAAAGAGACAGATTGCCAAGGTCGGAGGTAACATGATGAGAGGCGGCAGAGTCAAGAAACCAGGAGCAGTTGTGTGATGGGCCTGAGCTTGACGGGCCTGAAACTCTTGACGAGCCTGATGAATCAGCCTGAAACATTGGCGGACTGAATGACCCGGGCGCTCACAGTATTGACAGACAACTGTGGGTCGGCATGGAGTAGAGGCAGCAGGAGGCGGCCCATAGGAATTGGCAGGGAATGGGCCTGAAGCCCGCTGGACACCTGCTGCAGGGCACGGAGAAGAGGCCCGCTGTGATGGAAACCCTCGCGGGGAGCGAGAGTTGTGTGACCCTCCAGAAGAAGCGTTGCCGCCGAAGTTGCGCCGGCCCTGGGAATAAAACGCCGTCGGAATCGACTGGCGCACCTGGGCCTTGAGGTCCGCCTCGTATTCCACCAACGAGTCGACCAAATCCTCGAGGCAGAGACCAGGTCCCCGAGCACGAATAGCAGCGGCAAAGGCAGTGTATTCCTCGCCCAAGCCGCGAAGACAGTAGACGACAAGATCAATGTCGGAGACAGGTTTCCCGATGAGAGCGAGCTCCTCAGCTGTGCTCTTAAGATCATTCACAAACGTGAGTACATCTCGGTCCCCCTTTGAAGTTTTGGCCAATTCCCCTTTCAAATGAATGACACAAGACTGAGCATTGCTCGCATCGAGCTTTTCAAGGATGAGCCACGCAACCCTCAATGTAGAAACAGCAGAGACAAACGAATAAATTGATTCAGAGATCGAGCAACGCAAGGCGTGGAGGATGAGTTTGTCTTGCCTGAACCAGTGCTGATATGTGGGATTCGGCATCTCGACTGAGTCAATCAGGATTGTGCGAGGAGGAGCGACGGTGGTACCATCGATATAGCCAAAAAGATCAAGACCCATGAGCAGCGTGTCTAACTGAGAACGCCATGAGGCGAAGTTGGTGGAGGTGAGCTTCAGGGGAAGCTCAGCAGCCGGATTGAACGTGATGACGGCTGGAACCTCGGCCGAAGTGGCCGTGTTGTCAACGGTTGAGCTACCAAACATGGTGACAGAGGGGAAGAGAAAAAAAAATATCAGTGAGGAGAATGGCCTGCCAAAAGTCAAGAAGAACGTCGGAAAGAACTTTGTGAATTCGCTTTGGGAGAAAAGAAAATATTTGGGATTGCGGAAGAAGAGGACAGATTGGATCAAGTAGCTGAACTTGGCTAGCTCTGATACCATATTAGAAGGAGAAGCAGTTGTAGATAGAATATTATTGTGATCAAAAGACCTGATTTGTATTTACATTTCCAGCAATATTTATACACTGTTACAGAAGATACAGGGGAGTTTGTTGAGTGATTGAAGGAGAATGTACAGGGGAGTTGAGGAGTGGAAACGTGAGGAGTGAGAGCTAATAAAATAAATGAAAAAGAATAGTTTCTAATACATCTCTTGTATCCTCCATTCTGTATCGTAGTGTCTATTTGCTTTACACAATCAATGAACAAAGCTTTGTAGTTAGAACTGAAAAAGATCACTCCCTTACTCTAAACGCAGGAGGTAGATTAGGGTTTCAGAAAATCGCGAGACCCCTACAATATGGGTGATATTTGCGGGAAACGCTCACTCAAAAACTTGACACAATCTGGCTTGCAGGAGGCAAACACAAGATTCAATCCCTCTAAAGACTTTGAGCTATCACTATGGTGGCCAAGATGCCGCTACAATCACCCTCACGCACTATACTTGACGAAGGAAAACCATAGGAAAAAACCTAGTCCGATCCAAAACTCTCGCTAAACGAGAGAAAAGAAATTTTTGGGTTTTTAGAAAGCGAAAGAGAGTAATTGATCCTTAACTTTTCTGGATTTGAATTATATATTATTTATTGATAAGGCGTACACAACTCTTGTCCCCAATTCAAAAGTAACAACAAAATTTACGTGTCAATGCTTCTCTTTCATTTCGGGGTATTACTATTGTTAAATTAAATACATGTATTGTTGTGAATATATGTACAAGATTATACATGTATTGGCTCTAAAAAAATATAATATACATGTATTGTCGAATTCGATACATTGTAGAATACAACGTTTGGTATGTGTGATTGTGTATGTCACATCAGCTAAAAGCCGAGACAAAACAATCTCAACTCAACTATCTCAACAATCACAACAAAACAATCTCAATCCTATATTTTGGAAAAAATTATCAAACATGCCCTTATGTAAGAATTTCCATTGAAAAATGGTCAACCACAGTTGAACCGAGATTCACACGACCCGACATCGGAAAAATTGGGGGTTGAAATGTCAGTTTTTCTTCCTCATTTATTTCTCCATGTCTAGTTAAAGTGAAATTATTAGAGGTATTTGGCTATACAAAAGAAACAAAACAATTCTAAAGTGAAATTATTAGGAATATTTTAGACATAGGTGTCGCCCAAACCAAGGTTCGACCATGATTGATGGGGTTTTTATGCAAATGTTAACAAAGGGCATGTTTGATCATTTTTACAAAGTATAAGGGCATGTTTGATGTAAAAAAAATAGTAGAGGGGCATGTTTGATAAAACTATATAGTAGAGGGGCATATTATACCTACAACCCTTATATAAACTTGTGAGCTACTTTTCTTGTTGTTAGTGTCATTCAAACTGAAACATGAAATGCAGTAAATTGTTATTTCATTCATTAGGCAAGAATGTAATTTTGATTCCAATGCCTCAGCACGCTTAGGCGATGCCTAGACAAACTATGCGTTAGGCAAGGCTCCAACACGCACCTTACGCGTAACGCGTTATTGAACCTTTAATAAACATAAACACATCTGTTGTTATGATTTTTTGTTCGTTAATCTACAGGCTGCTTATCTAGCTAGTAGCTAAAAAGCCATTGTCTCCTATGGGAATGGATCAGGTCAGTAACCTTATGGTGAGTAACAATGAGTAACCCGTCCACATCAGCATGACATCAGCATCCTCTCTCTCATGGAAAACCTTTAATTTTTCCATTTTTAATCTTTGACGGACGATTTCTCGCTCATTTTAAGTCGAAATTTAATTTTTTTTTTGCACAGTTAGATCAGATTAATTGTGCTCTTCAAAATGATATCCACTTTAATATATTTTTCGACAAAAAAAATTGAGCCATTTTTTTCAGCCTATACCATATGGTATTGACTGGTATTGAAATAAAAGCATACCTATGTTTTGAAAAACGTACCATGGTGGTATGAACAAACCAATACTGTAGGATGGTTGAATACATGATAGTAGAAGTATATTAATTGTAATTTACGACTTTTAACATTGTATACCACACAATACCACCCCGTACCAGGGTGGTATTGTATGGTATTGTGTGGTATTTTTTGGTCCTGTAATTTGTTCACCCAGAAATTTGTAGATCCAATAGATCATGATGAACTCGTCCCTTCTGTGCAAACGTTTTCAAAAACGAATTAAAAATGAAGAAGATACCATACAATACCACCCCGTACCAGGGTGGTATTGTATGGTATTGTGTGGTATTTTTTGGTCCTGTAATTTGTTCACCCAGAAATTTGTAGATCCAGTAGATCATGATGAACTCATCCCTGTTGTGCAAACGTTTTAAAAAACGAAAATATGGTATGCAGTTGGTACCGAGAGGCCAGAATTTTTTTTTCCTAAAAAAATATTGAAAATTAATCTCATTTTGTAGAGCACGGTGAACGCGTTCCATCTGTGCAAAAAAAATTAAAATCCGAGTTAAAACGAAAAAGATATGAGTCAATTATGAAAGCTAGTGAAAATAAAAATAGTCTTTAATTCTCCATCCTTAGATCTGGATTTTCTAAATGAAAGGTCCAGATTTGGTTATTAATGGGTGCATAACCCATAATTATGCACCCTATCTTGAGCCGTCTCCTATCATTTAGAAAACGGTTTCCTTTCAATTCTCCCATTATCTTCTATCACTCACAAAATACAAAGGAAATAAAACAATTCCCTCATATCTCCAATATTTGGCTGTCCAGGGATTTCACTTTGGCGCCGAAAATTAACAGGCTGCATTCCACGATTCTCAACTGATTTCCTTTCCTTAACAGGTTACTAGGTTAGAGAAAGAAGAACCACAAACGGAAAAGAAAGACGCGTGGCATGTACCAAATGAGCCACGCCTTGGAGAATTACAGCCTTACAAAGCTCGCTCAGGTCGGGATATTGGTATGACGACAGCTCTCCTAGCCGATCTTGCCCACTTGGGGAGGAAGCTTACGTGTCCAAACCTCCAACCCAAACCAGACCTCCTGAAACCCACACGTGGCTATAACACATACAAAGAATATATCTAAGGTAAATAAATCCCATGCACGCTCTAAAAGGCCAAGCTAACTGACACTTATTGCACAGCAACAACTCGAGTGATTAAAATGAATCTTGCAAAATTAAAATGAACCTAACTACAAATAAGTGTCGCATATCATTCGTTGCATGCAACGTCATTCTCCCAACACATTGACCATCATCTATTCGAGAGATAATTAAACTCCCTCCTCAAGGCAGTTTTCAAACATCTTTTATGCATATAATACTAATTTTTCACCAAGTACTGTGCATTTCCCACCATCTACTAGCTAGTATAATATATCCTTGGAACGCACATCTAAGTAAAAGCGACTAAGTAACAACGATCAACAACGTATATTATGTTTGGAACAAATTTACATGAATTCCTTATCTATTATTATTATTATTATTATTATTATTATCTCTATAAAGAAAAGTAGCCAAGTTACTATTGAATAGTGTCCTATCACAAGGGGTTTCTTTTGGTAATTAACCAAAGTTTGTGGTGGCTTTTGTGCATTAATGTTCTAATTATTTCTTTTATGACAATTGAATTCAAATAAATTGACATTCGACCTACTTCGAACCAGTTAAAGCGAGCTTAACCTGATGTTGACGAATTTTGCCTCAATAATGAGTTTTTCACACTAACTTTTTTTTAATTAACCAAAACTTGAAAGAGTTTTTTACATTAAGGTTCTAATTAATTAACTTTTGACAATTGAATCCAAATTGAACCCAAATCAATCGGTATTCGACCTACTTCGACCCGGTTAAAACAAGTTAAACCCGGTGTTGAAGAATTTTGGTTCAACGAGTTTTGCAAGCTTAAATCATTGAACCTTGGAGGAATTTTTGTGATTAAGGTTCTAAGCAGTGTTGTGAAAGCCGAGCCGAGCCGGCCAGCTGAACCGCCAAAACCGCCAACCGGGCACAAAACCGGCTCGGATCAGCTATTTAGCCGGACTGGTTCTCTGGGGCGGGCGGCGAGCGGCCGAAGCAGTTAACCCCTCGAGCCGGCCGGCCGGTTTTTCACATTGGGCCGGTTGGTTTAATTAAAAAAATATATGAAAACTAAAAACCAAAAACTAAAGAACGAAAATTAAAGGGAAGGTGGGTCGGGCTGTCTGATGTTGCAGAACCCTAATATCAATTTCTTCATCTTCTTCTTTGTGGAGACAAGGAAGCGCAGCTTCCAGTCCGAACTCCAAATCCCAGCGTCGGCGCCATTCCCCATCTCCATCGCCGTCTTCTCCAGCCGTTCCCCGTCTCCATCGTCGTCTTCCCCAGCGCCAGTCCAAATCACCGTCTTCGTCACCTGTGACCTGTCGCCATCGCCATCTTCCCCAGCGTCGTTCCCCGTCGCCATTTCCCTCCGATTTGGGCGAGCCCCTGCCTGCGAGTGCCCCGGTGAGGTCTCCCTTCCCTTCCCCGGTCACTGCCTCTCCTCTGCACCGACCCCTGCTGCCCTCCCCTGCACCGGTAAGTGTTTGTGATTATGTTGCTATTGTGAGCAATTTTGTAATGGTTTATGCTGCTGTTTGTAATGGTTTATGTTGCTGCTGTCCCATTTAATTTGTAATGGCTATGCTTCTGCCGTGAGCTTTCCCTGTCCCATTTAGCAATTTTTTTGCTTACTTGTTAGATTTACAATTGTAAATTTGCCGATTCGATGTTTCTTTTGTAGATGAGTACTCCAAATCCAGATAGTGGTACTCAATCAACAACACTAAGCTCTACTGCTTCAACTGGGCAAGCTGGTCGGGGAAAGAATGATCCTGCTTAGAATTACATTCAAGAAATCAAAGATGATAATGGAAAGGTAAAGGCACTCAAATGCATGCTATGTGGAATTGAGAAAAAGGGAGGGGGATTAATCGGATGAAAGAGCATCTTGCTCATTCTTCAAAAGGGAATATTGTGAAATGCTCAAAAGTTTCCTATGATGTGCGTCTGAGATTTGCCAATATTCTTAAAGAATTTGAAGAAAAGAAAGATGGGAAGAAGCAATCTAATGATCCTATCATTGGTGACAAAGAGGATGATGTGGTTGAGTTAGTGGGATCACAGGCAACTAAAAATGTTAGTGACTTGATGAAGAAAGCTAAGGGAGCTGACTTTTTTGCTCCAAGAACCACTCATGGGTCGCAACCAGGCATCAAAAGTGCAATGGCTACTCAGATAGTTGGCAGAGGATGTTTGATGTTGCAATGGCTATTTGTCCAGACTTAAGGTACCATCATATCATGATTTAAGGGTGCCTTTACTAGCTGATTGGAAGAGAGAAACCCAACTAATTGTTGATCAACACGGAGCCGTTTGGGGACAGTGTGGATGTACTTTAATGGCTGATGGTTGGACTGATCAACAAGGTAGAAGCTTGGTTAATCTATTGGTCTACTGTACTAGAGGTCTTTGTTTTCTTAAATCTGTTGATGCAACAAAGATTGTGAAGAATGCAAAGAACCTTTTCAAGATATTTGATGAAGCAATACAGTGGATTGGCGTGGGCAATGTGGTTCATGTGGTTACTGATAATGCAGCTAACTACAAGTCACGTGGTAAGATTATTCATAAGACTTATCCACATATTTATTGGTCTCCATGTGCAACTCATTGCATGAATTTGATATTGGGTGATTTTGGAGATTTGGATAATGTGAAGGATGTCATTCAAAAGGCTAGAAGAGTCACTGTCTTTGTTTATAATCATACTCCTGTGATTAATTGGTTGAAAGCAAGGACAAATTGGAAGCAAATAGTGAGACCTGATGCAACTCGCTTTGCTACTAATTTCCTCTCCATGAAGAGTGTGTATGAGCACAAGGTTGATGTACAAGCTTTAGTAGTGAGTGAGTTCTTCAATGCAGGTGAATCATCTAACACTGCAAAAGGAAAGGTGGCGAGTGCTATATTGTTAGATGCTCAGTTTTGGGGTGATTGTTTGGAGATGGTAAATGTGGCTCAACCAGTCATGAAGTTGCTGAAGCTTGTTGATTCAGATGAAAAGCCCACTCTTGCTTATGTTTATGAGGGAATGAGAAGAGCAATTAAGGGAATCAAGGAGATCTTTCTAGGTAAAGAGACTTTGTACAAGCCTTACATTGACATCGTCAACAAAAGGTGGGATAAGCATTTTCGAGGGAATCTAGTCAAGGCAGCTTATTTCTTCAATCCTGCTCTCAAATATGATGAGAAAGAATATGTAGGGGACATTGAGGTGAAGGGGGCTATAATAAACTTGCTTGAAAAGCCCCAACTTTGTAGTGATGGTTTGAAAGCATGTAAGGAACTGAAATTGTTTGAGGAAGCGAAGGGGACTTTTGGTAGGGATTTGGCTGTTAGAGGTAGATCGTCACTTGATCCAGGTAATATGAAGTATCATGATTCTTAATGCAATAGTTGGTCTATTTAATTGTGTTTGTTCTAATAAATTAATTTTCTCTGTAGATGATTGGTGGAATACCTTTGGTGATAGTGCACCATTGTTGAAGAACCTTGCACTTCGAGTCCTAAGCCAAACTTCTGCCTCTTCTGGATGTGAAAGAAATTGGAGTGTGTTCGAGCGGATTCACACCAAGAAGAGGAACAAGATAGAGCATGAAAGACTAAGCAATCTAGTCCATGTGAACTACAACATGAAGCTAGGAAAGAGGTATGTGATGAATAGCAAATATGTTTGATTTGATTACAAAATATTTTTGCCATGAAATAGTAACATATTTGACTTTTATTTAATCATTCATAGGTCTCGTACTAGAAAAAGTAAGTTCTTGGTTGATCCATTTGACTATGAATGGATTAATGCCACTGAATTTTAGGTTATGGATGAGGAAGAGGATCAACCTCCAGATCTTAGCTTTGATGAGTTTATACAAGCTATGGGTGAGAATAATGCTACTGACATTCCTGAAGGAAGTAGAACTACAAGTAGGAAAAGAGGTCGCAATTAAGGTTGGATTGACATATTAGTAAATGAAGAATGTTCAACTTTGATATTTTTTACCACATGATTTCTTACATTTTTTTTACTTATTAGATTATGATGGAGATGATGGTAGCACAACAATTGGCATGGCGTCTTCAAGCAGTAATTCATCCTGTGCTAGTGATGGTGAATGAATGATGTTGAAGTCTAGTGATGGTGAATGAAATGATGTTGAAGTTGTATTTGATAATTGTTTGAGTTTGAGACTTTGAGTGGTTTCCATGTTTAAGACTCTTGTTTCATGTTCAGACTCGCGTGATATTGCTTTTATTTTGGAACAATGTGGTGGTTTGGAATTGAAATTTAGATCTTTCGGTACTGATGTTCTAAAATTGTTTAAGAGAATAATTTACTTGTGATTTAGCATGATTAAGAAGTGTCCACTATTTATACAGATGACTGTTTATTAGGTATCGGTTCTCAAAAGGTTTTTAAACGATCTAATGCCGGCTGGAGCACTAAAGACCGAGCCGTTCACGTTTCTGGGTCATACTCCGGTTCGGTTCTGACAACATTGATTCTAAGTAATTAAAACCCAAATCAATGGGTATTCGACCTACTTGAACCCTTTTAAAGCGAGTTTTGCACGCTTAAATCGTTGGGTATTTTATAAACCGAGTTGAAGTTGGTTTACACATTTTGGGTTGACAGCGAGTTTTACACGATTCGACCTAATGTTAAGCCGATTAAAGCAAATTGAACCACGAAATAGTTTTGTAGGTTCTAATTAATTAACTTATTACAATTGAACCCGGTTAAGCGAGTTAATGCTGGTTTCACGAATTTTGGGTTACCGACGAGTTTTACACGCTTAAGTCGATGTCCATTCCTTTCGACCTAATGTTGAACCGGTTAAAGCGAGTTGAACCCGGTGTTATCGAGTTGTATTCGACCGTATTCGACATGGGTTTGATTGGTCTTTCCTTGCAAATTTTCGTTGTTTCGGCCTTGCAAATGTTTTGGGTTTCTGGTTTTGGATTTTGTCGCGAGTTTTATCATCATTCCCTCGACCCGGTTAAAGCGAGTTAAACCCGATGTTGCGAATTTGTTTCTAACATTGAGGTTTTTTTGTAGGTTCTAATTAATTAACTTATAATAATCAAACTCGAATTGATCCCATATCAACGACCGTTCAACCTAAATCGACCTGGTTAAAGCGAGTTTACGTCTGTTTTACGAATTTTGGGTTGCCGTTTAATTTTACACGGTTAAATCAATGCCCATTCCATTCGACCAAATTTCGTGCTGGTTAAAGCGAGTGGAACCCGGTGTTAAAAAATTGTATTCGACCTTATTCGACCCCGGTTTGATTGTTCCTTGCAATTTTTTTTGTTGTGCCGACCTTGCAAATATTTTGGGTTTATGCCCGGGTTTTCATCATTCACTCGACCCGATTAAAGCGAGTTGAATCCGGTATTTCAAATTTGTTTCTAACCATAAATGAGTATTTGTAGGTTCTAATTAATTAACTTATGAACATTGAACTCAAATTGATCCTAGATCAACGCTAAATCGACCCGATTAAAGCGAGTTTACTCCATTTTTTGGATTTTGGGTTGTCCTCTAAATTTAAACGCTAAAATCGATGTGCATTCCATTCGACCTAATGTCGAGCCGTTTAAAACAAGTTGAACCCGGTGTTGACAAATTGTATTCTACCCGGGTTTGATTGTTCATAGTGTCACATCACAAGGGGTGCTCTTTTCGTAATTAACCAAAGTTTGGAGGAGTTTTTGTGCCATTAAGGTTCCAATTACTTAACTTATGACAATTGAGCCCAAATTGGACCAAAATCAACGAGTATTTGACCTAATTCGACCCGGCGAGAGCAAATTGAACCGGGCGTTGACAAATTTTAGGTCAACAATGAATTTTGCATGCTTAAATCAATGGATGTTTGACCTAATGTCGACCCGGTTAAAACAAGTTGAACCCAATATTGAGGAAGTTTTGGTCGAGGACAGAATTTTACATGTGCCGGGTTGGGTCGTTACCTATTTCTTTTTATTCAGTTTTGACTGTTTTGTAATTGACGGTTTAGGTAGGCTGCTGTTACGTTGAGTCACATCACAAAAATGGCATTTCCGTAATTGAGATTGACTTTCTGGTCATTTTGGGTTTTGTCATTTTCTGGCGTTCTAACTTCCTAATCATTATTTTCGTAGGACAAACCACAGCCACAAATTCGTCACTTTTTTTTGTTTCAGCAGTTCAATTATCTTTCTGGGTTACAAACTTTTGAATTCCTCTCTCTGTATTGTGACCTTTTATCTTACTCATCTATATAGTGTTTTCGTTATCTACAACTACTTGACGTTACATATGTTTTTCCTGGCGCCGGTGTGTAGTGTGTCTAGCAGAAAATCCAGCGTTGTGGTGGATCAATTTTTGATAGCCTCACCAGAAGAGATAGTCAAATCAAACCGGTAAGAATGGTGAGCTCCTTTTTCTCTTTGTCTCTCTTCCCATCATTTTAACAATATGCTCTTATCAACTGATTTCTGTACAGTTAGACTAGACCCTGTTGGGATTCATTGTTGCAGAAGGTGCTTACCAGTAGAGATGGCAATGGGGCGGGTTTGCCTAAACCATCCCCATCCCCATCTTCAAATATCCAAACCCATATCCGCACAATACCCATGCGGGAGAATGTTTTGCAAACCCATCCCCATACCCGTGGGTTTCGGGTACCCATGGGTAATACCCATCCCCGTACATCCAACATTATTATACCTAAAACTTACAAGAAAAGTTTTAATTATAACCATAAACAAACCTATTATATCATGAAGTCAACAAAACACGGTCATTTTCTAAATACGATTCAAAGAATATGATCCTAAAACATCCATTAATACATAATATAGACTACAATATTTTTTAAATTATTATGCTCTAACTCTTGTTACATTTACTAAGTAATAATTAACTAACATAATCTTGTTAACAAGAGGGAAAGTGAAAGAGTAGAAGGAGAATTGTGTGAAATGAATTAGGTTTTGACTAAAGTGGTTACTCAATTGCATTTCTACTATTTATTTTCTCAAGTTATCATCATCATCATTGATAGATTACAATTTAATCCACATATTTTTTGATATGTGAAGAAATTCTCTTGGTGGGGCGGGTATGGGTATGGGGCGGGGAGGCTAAAACCATACCAGCCCCATACCCATCAAACTTTTTGCGGGTTTTACCCATACCCGCCCCATACCCGGTCAATGCGGGGATTCCCCTCGTTGACTGGGTCGGGGGTGGTCGGGTACCCGCGGCCATGGGTTTGATTGCCATCCCTACTTACCAGGATGACCCTGATTAGTTTTGCTTAGAGAATGTGTCTTGCACAATTAATTTGAAAGTTCGTGGGATGCATTCTTAGGAACGATTTGCAAGTGCTCAAGTTTATTTAGTTTGAATAGTGTATATCACCTATGGTTATGTCATGGGGACGATAGAGAAATTGTTTGTAAAGTACTATACTACTAACTAAATACAATTTGTTCGATTATTTTATCATTATTATTTTTTGTCATTTGGGGTTCATATAATTGTTTACACCTAAAAAATAATCTTGTACCACATTGATTATTTACAAGGCATTTATTATCTTTTAAGGCCAGATTATTAATGACAATTAGTGTCATTTGAACTGGGCCTCATGATAATAATTTTAAGCCCCAAACTACCAAGTCTCTAAGAAGGAGCTAGTCTCGTCGCGAGTTGAAGAGCCCAACGTGGTCATGATATCTAGACCACGTTGGCATCAAATCTAGAGCCCGACGTGGTCATGAGATCTAGACCACGTTGACATCAAATCTAGAGCCCGACATGGTCATGAGATCTAGACCATGTTGGCTTCAAATCTAGAGCCCGACGTGGTCATGAGATCTAGACCACATTGGCTTCAAATTTAGAGCTCGACGTGGTCATGAGATCTAGACCACGTTGGCTTCAAATCTAGAGCCCAACGTGGTCATGAGATCTAGACCACGTTGGCGTCAAACTTAGAGCTCTACGTGGTAATGAGATCTAGACCATGTTGGCTTTAAACTTAGAGCCTGACGTGGTCATGAGATCTATACCACGTTGGCTTCAAAATTAGAGCTCGATGTGGTCATGAGATCTAGACCACGTTGGCTTTAAACTTAGAGCTCGACGTGGTCATGCGATCTAGACCACGTTGGCATCACATTTAGAGCCCGACGTGGTCGCGAGATCTAGACCACGTCGTGAGACTATGTCCAAGATATGAACTAACAAGTTGGAAATAAGAAGGCAAGCCATGTGGGAGAGGCAAGTAACAAGACGACAGTTCGAAGATGAAGAACAGGAGGTTAAGGGAGAAACTGCCGATTATCCCACGTACAATGACACGTCAGCCATGTCCAGGAAAGAAGGAGAGCAGTTCTTTTTGGAAGTTACTCTATGACAGTTTCTACGGCGGTTATCATCTCAAGGCTTATAAATCGGAGAGGAGTCGACAGAGGAGGGGGTAGCGAAAATCACCACCTGACACCACTTGTCAAGTTTTATCAATTTTATCTTTCCTCTGCAACTTTTATCAGTAGTCATAGATTTGGAGCTCTCTCAGAACCTCCATAGGAGTAGGAGTAAATTAATGTAGATCTGTCTCGAGAGTCGTGTAAACATCGATCACCCTCGTTCGAATTGTGTTTGAAGAGGTGTGAACTGTGTTAAGTTAATCGTTGTCCAAAGAAGTCAATGTGCAATCAATATCAATTCAACGCAAGTTTTCTCGCCGGAGAAAAAATTTGGCACACCTGGTGGGACACTTGTGGTCGATTCGATGGCTCCGAGGCGGATGAATAAAGAAGGTAACATTCCGGTTGGATTCGGGGAGGAGCAGGTGGCCAACATCGAGCATGGCCAAGTATTAGAGGCGGTGACCGGAGTAAATGGTGGAGCAGAGATCTTGGTGGCGACCACGCCTAGTGAAGATCTTGGTGAAGCCGTGGGGGCCCTTCGTCAGATGATGGAGGAGAATCGCAAGATGCTTGCAGAGAACCGTCAAGCCTTGAAGGAGAACCGCAAAATGGTGGTAGAAAACCGTCTAGCCTTGGAGGAGAACCGCCAAGTGATGGAGGAGAACCGCCGATGCATGGAGAAGGCCTTGGCAGGTACCAATAAGATAATATCTCAACTTGATTGTTTTTATTCAAGTTTTAATAGGCGTGTGGATAAGATTTTAGAGATAAGAAAAAACGATGTAAGAGATTTTGGGCAACTTTTAATAAAACCAGTGTCACAATCAATGGTTTTGCCGCAAAATGGTTTAGAACCAACACCAAATAATTAAATTGTGTGCAAAAATCTTTCTCCCTCTTGTGGCCAGTATACCCAGTCACGATTAGAGAACTTGCTATCTCCAGGGGCAACTCAACCGCCCCCTCTACGTGAGGGTTGTGGTGAGAGGTCCACCTCCACTTTGAACAACAGTGATGGGGTCTTGCATGTACAAGGTGATGTTCAACCACTCGTTCTCGAGACAAGATCATATGAGAAACTTGTCAATGGACGAGATGGTGAAGATCCGTTAAACGTGGAACAAGTACCACCACATGCTTGCCCACCCCCAAACCCACCCCTATTGAGTGGACAAATAGGCGATTCTGATGGACTCAAAACACCTAGAGCTCAGCAAGGGGGGCATGAAAGTCTAATTTTCCACAAGTTGACGCCGAGATGTCCATCTGGGGGGCATGTGGTGTCTAAGAGGTCACATCAATCACAAGCAACACATGCTTGTGTTAAACATATTAATTTGGCTAAGTCTGGAAAGGGGGGCATGCCTCCAACCACTTGCATTGGACATGGGGGCATATCTAACAAGTCACGACGTGAGAAAGCCATAAAAAGTTATTGTAGATTTGAAAATTTGGCCAAGTATGGACAAGACATGTCCAAGAAGCCATATGAAGTGCAAGTCACACATGTTTGCGATAAGCATGCTAATTTGACTAAGTCTGGACAAGGGAGCATGTCACCTAGCATGAAGAATGGAGTAGAGGGCATCTTCAATAAGACACAACAAGTCAAACCCCCACATGGATTTTGTAAGCGTGAGATTATGGACAAGGGTGGATTGGGGGGCAAGTCCATGTCAATGAATAGTAAGTACTCGACACCAACTACAAAGAGTGGACATGGGGGCATGTATAAGAAGTCACCATACACACCAACCAAACATGGCTGCACAAAGAATCTATGGTGGTTGAGTGCTAAGTGTAGGGGCCAACAACGTTTATATATTGAAAGACGAAGACAAGGAAGCTACACGAGTGGTTGTCAACTTGTCAAGCCTAGACCTGGTCCCCAACATCGTGAGGAGATTAAGCATGTATCAAGTGGGAGGAAATCAAGGCAGAAGAATAATCATGATAGCCTTGACATGTCAAGTAAGGTGGCCCAAGCAAAGAAGCATGAGACCTCATGCAAGGCCACCAAGACTAGACAGGCCGACCATGTACCAACCATTAGTAAGATAGAAAATTCGAAGTTAATGTATGAAGATCCATCTCCCATAGAGGAAAAGAGTCATGTGGTCTATGGATGGCATGTATGGTTTGATCCATGGACTTGGCAATGGGTGTACACCTTTGGTACATTGATTGTTGCCAAATGCTATGAAGAGCAGTGACATTTGTCACTTCTTGCCATATAAAATAAATAAATTTATATAATTTACTTATTATTATATATTAGTTTAAAAAAAATATTGTAGCCAACCATGGCTAAAAGAAAAGATAGAAGGAAAATATCAAAGTGAAAATCTTGAGTCGGAGTTGTTAGACTTCGACATGAAGATCTTGTCACCAAGTCATTGTGATGGCTTGACATGACGAGCCATACATCAGGCCATGCCATGCCATTGTTATCCTGTCCCGAGTAGCCACGGCCTGGGGGGGCATGATGGCTTGAAATGTGGTAGTAGATGAGTGGTGACCATAATGTCTCTACCAACATAAAAATGAACATTATTTTTTCTAAGGCAAAAAATTAGACGGCTTCACTTGTCGCAAGGGAGTTGTCTAGCCTTGTGACGATGTGAGATGAGCCAATCTATACCAAAATAGGGGCGAAAAATTCTAAGTTATTCTCTCAATCATGTGGCCAAGTACGAGACGTCAATGAGGATGTAGGTGATAAAGTGAGGTTGGTATCTCGTTGAATGCAATATGTAGCTTGACCATTAAAAGCCAAAATTTGGCTAGGCATGGGATAAGTCGTTGACGTCGAGTTTCATCCGGCCATGTTGGCATGATCATTGAAAGTCAAAATTTGGCTAAGGCATGGAACAAGTTTTGACGCCAAGTTCCATCTCGCCATGTTGGCTTGACGCGAAAAACCAAAATTTGGCTAAGGCATGGGACAAGTTATGACGAAGTGTTCCATCCGGACGTGTTGGCTTAATTACTGAAAGTCAAAATTTTGGCGAAGTAAAATTGGTGTGTTGATAAGCCAACACGCTACTTGGCAAGCTTGGTGGTATTCAACTACTTAGTCCATAATTCTTATGCACTAAGTAGTTGGGGGGCATTTGTTTACACCTAAAAAATAATCTTGTACCACATTGATTACTTACAAGGCATTTATTATCTTTTAAGGCCAGATTATTAATGACAATTAATGTCATTTGAACTGGGCCTCATGATAATAATTTTAAGCCCCAAACTACCAAGTCTCCAAGAAGGAGCTAGTCTCGTCGCGAGTTGAAGAGCCCGACATGGTCATGAGATCTAGACCACGTTGGCATCAAATCTAAAGCCCGACGTGGTCATGAGATCTAGACCACGTTGGCATCAAATCTAGAGCCCGACGTGGTCATGAGATCTAGACCACGTTGGCTTCAAATTTAGAGCTCGACGTGGTCATGAGATCTAGACCACGTTGGCTTCAAATCTAGAGCCCAACGTGGTCATGAGATCTAGACCACGTTGGCGTCAAACTTAGAGCTCTACGTGGTCATGAGATCTAGACCACGTTGGCTTTAAACTTAGAGCCCGACATGGTCATGAGATCTAGACCACTTTGGCTTCAAAATTAGAGCTCGACGTGGTCATGAGATCTAGACCACGTTGGCTTTAAACTTAGAGCTTGACGTGGTCATGAGATCTAGACCACGTTGGCATCACATTTAGAGCCCGACGTGGCCGCGGGATCTAGACCACGTCGTGAGACTATGTCCAAGATCTGAACTAACAAGTTGGAAATAAGAAGGCAAGCCATGTGGGAGAGGCAAGTAACAAGACCACAGTTCGAAGATGAAGAACAGAGGTTAAGGGAGAAACTGTCGATTTTCCCACGTACAATGACACGTCAGCCACGTCCGAGAAAGAAGGAGAGCAGTTCTTTTTGGAAGTTACTCTATGATAGTTTCTACGGCGGTTATCATCTCAAGGCCTATAAATAGGAGGGGGAGTTGACAGAGGAGGGGGTCGCGAAAATCACCACCGGACACCACTTGTCAAGTTTTATCAATTTTATCTTTCCTCTGCAACTTTTATAGGTAGTCATAGATTTGGAGCTCTCTCATAACCTCCATAGGAGTAGAGTAACTTAATGTAGATCTGTCTCGAGAGTCGTGTAAACATCGATCACCCTCGTTCGAACTGTGTTTGAAGAGGTGTGAACTGTGTACGTTAAGTTAATCGTTGTCCAAAGAAGTCAGGGTGCAATCAATATCAATTCAACGCAAGTTTTCTCGCCGGAGAACAATAATATATGAACTTTTTATTAATTTCTTGAAGTGTTGCTCACTTTACGTGACAAACCGATATTATCAGCCCTTAATCTTGAATTTCCATTGCAAATTACTCTGTTACCCGCCACGACGCGCGATCTTTCGTTCTAGTCATATATAAAGCCGACATGGCATAGATATTTTGATCATTATGATGTTAGCTCCCAAAATTAAAAAGAGATATATATTTTGATCTTTCAATCATCTATTATCATATATATTATCTCAACAACTGGTGGGATTACAACAGTGCAAGTGGTCGCATGAGTCAAGAAACTATTCTATTGACACAGGAAACAAAAAGTGACGGGATACGATGATCCATTGGATGAGGACAATCTATCAGCGCAATCTCAAGAAAGAGATGCAAAATTCAGCTCAAATTAGCTTCTGAAGCCATCAGTCACCAAATAAATTTTCGATCAACTTGCATATAAGGCTCGGGCTTGGATGTTGGCAAACTTGGTGCCATCCATGCATGTCCCAATTATGGACACATTGATGATAAGTTTATGGGATTGCTGTTTGGGAGGTGGCGGAATCACCACATAGGGACAAAACCGCCGCACGTTGTTCCCCTTTTCGGAGCTTTCCTTCCTCAAATATCCTCTTTGCCTCTTTTTGCTTCCTGCTCGTTACTTTAAGCAACATAACCCTTTATTATCGTTTTTCTACGTCACTAACTAGCTAGTTACTCACAACTCAACTCCTGCTCTCTTCTATATATACAAACAAAAACAACAACAGATAACCATCGAGCTAAGTTGCCAAGACGAAGAAATTAAAAGGCGCAATGGAAGGCAACTCCTCCTCCTCCTCCTCCTGCCCTCGTCACCTATCCAAAACGTGCTTCATGGAGTGGATGGACCTTCAACAGCTCGACCTCGCCGACTTGGTCCAAGCCCAGCAGAGATCACTACTACGAAGCAGTACTTCTACCACTGCCACTGTCGGCCCAACGCTGTCCGAGCTTGCTCAGGCCAACGTCGACCACTTCCAGGCCTACGCGGACAAGCGGGCCCGCCTCGCCGAAAACGACGTCACTTCCTTCTTCACCCCGGCGTGGAACTCCCAGCTCGAGAACTCCCTCCTCTGGATCGCCGGCTGCCGCCCTTCCATATTCGTCCGCATGCTCTACGCCCTCTGCGGGTCCCACTCCGAGTCCACGTGTCACGTCCTCCTCTCGGACGCCGCCCCGCCGCCGTCCTGCACCACGACGGCGGGGACGTCCCTCGGGGAGCTGTCGTGGGGGCAGATGAACGTCATCAACGAGCTCCACATGAGGACGGTGAGGGAGGAGGAGAAGCTGACGAGCCAGCTGGCCAGCCTGCAGGAGGACGTGGCCGACAACCCCATCTGCCGTGTCGTGGCGGCGGCAACGGCGGCGGGAGGACGGCCACGTGGCGGCCGGGAGGTGGACAGGGCGCTGGAAGGCTACGATAGAGGGATGGTGAGGCTGCTTAAGGAGGCTGACAAGCTGAGGATGAACACGCTCAAGGAGATCATCGGCGTGTTGACCCCGATTCAGGCCGTGGACTTTCTGGCTACCGGGAAGAGCCTCCATCTCACGCTTCATGAATGGGGCAAACACAAGGATCAAGCCGATGAAGGTGGTGGTTCTTCTTCTACAGCGGCTGGTGCGTGTTAACTGTTAAGGAAGTAGGCCGGAGTTTGCGGATAAAAATATATCGGAAGATTTTTGTTACCGACTTTGGTTTGGTTTTTGTCGTTTTCCTCTTGAAGAGCGGTTTGTTACCGACTCTGTAGCATGAGTTTTTTTTTTTTTTTTTACAAGTTGTAGTATGAGTTCGTTGATATATATTTTCACGTGTCAGTTCCGGCCAAGAAAATGTTGGCAGGTAGTTGTGCTTGTGCGTACGTATCCAAGTACCAAGTTCCTTCTTGATTAGGTCCCCTCTTGTGAGTGCAACTCCATTCCGTCGACTGATGGTAGATCTTTTTAAGTACCGCCAGTCTGCACCTCAAGCTGGCTCCCACTTGCACAGTTGCACTTGTATATGTGAGCGTCTTTGTTTAGCTCGAACCTTTTATTGGGAGTTTTCGTGTACGTGAAAATGAACAAAAGCTATTTGCGAGCAGTTTAACGTTTGAATTGCGAATAACTCGTTTGCTACTCGACTCCTCATTTAACAAGCTGATTTTAGAGTCAACTCGTTATTAAATGAACCAAATTTGAGCTAGGTCTCGTCCAATTTATTAAGCTCACGAGTTAGCTAGTTGGACTCAGTGACTAATTGAGCTCGGCTCATGAGTTGGTTTATTTGGAGCTCACGGGCTAATTAGTTGACTCTTTGGCTTGTTCTTGTTGAACTCCGCTCGTGGATTAAATCCTTTACAGATCACGAGCTGACTTAATAGTGTAGTTTTCAGAGTCCAACTCTATATAGCGTCCAAGTTCTCTTAGAATGACTGGATAATTAATTAAATTAAATAATATTAAAACTCACAACATAACTTTATTTGAGATTCACGGAACATGGTGGAAATATTCTTGCCCATTATTATTAATTAGTACCTATATATAAAAGCTGAGTTCAAAGTTGAAAAAGACCGAGAGAGCGACACGCGCCCAAAGTGACTAAAAAACCTTCCCGTCCTTTTCCTTTTTATAGTCTTGCCATCAGCCTCAATCAACCTTCCCATTTCCTAACCCGAATAATTTGTTTTTAGCGAGAAAATGGTACATGTTGCCGACTTAAATCAAATCCGGTTTTATGCTAGAAATTTGTTCTTACTTATGAGAAATCACAGGTTGGATGGACAAACTACTGAACAATCATTAAATCTCATCCAAACAACCCATATAATCACTCAGCTACGCAGAAGAGGGACTGGGAAAGGAATTGCAAGACTGAAATCCCAGATTTTTCGAAATTTGCTAGAATAAAATGCATCATAGTTACCACCGAATTCAACACTCGAAACCCAGAAACTTTTTGGCCTAAAATTCGCATGGAAAGGAAAATATAAAAAATCCAAATAAGAGCAAAGAAAGAAAATGTGACAAACAGCCAGCCAGCGTTAGACTGTGAAGTAAATATAATAATTAACTAGTAAGGAAACCCGCGCTCCGCGCCGGGAGGAAGTTTGTGATATCATATTGGAGAATTCACGGGACACATATACCAATTTTCCCGAAAGGGCGCAATTAGTGCGAGGAAATATATTAGCGAAGAAAAACATATTAATAAATGCTAATTAGGATTGGCTTAAAATGCCTTCAGATTACACTCCCTTATATAGAGGTGTGAAAGGTTTTCGAGTTGTGCAAATTCTTGAGCATTCGGGCATAAAAGAAAAGGAATATGATCTTTTTGTTGTTCAACTATGCAGTTTCATTGGTCATTGACTCGAACAGCTTCCCTATCCCTATGGCCTATACACTACAGGAAAAACATCCTTTGTACACGGGAAATCCCGTATTTGAAAGTGTATTTCCCGTGTTTAATTAATTTAGTCACGGGAAAATTACCGTAATATATACCTCCGTGTCTAATTGTAGAGATCACGGTAAATTCGTACCGTGACAAGTTATAACTAGTCACGGTAAAATTTCCTGTGATAATTTGTATCTATTAATCACAGGAGGACCCATGACCAATACTCAATCTTGCTACACAAAACTGATAAAAAAACTCATTTAAATACGGGATTTACATGTTTTAACACCGTATTTACCGTGACAAATCATTTCCCATGACTAAATGACAATAATCAGTCACGGTATTTGATAGGTTCTCACGTGTTTAGATACTAACAATTGATCACGATATTTTTCAGTGGCTTCCATTGGTAATTATGGCAATCGATCACTAATTTTATTTTGTAGTTGTACAACCATTAACACTTACGACAAAAAAATTCCTCTCAATATATTATAGTACTAGTAACTGCAACAATATTTTATACATGATCCTGATCTCACTGTAGAAAATTTAGATGTTCTCCCTAGTACTTTTATATCATTACAGTGACCACCAAAATAATTCATCAATAGACTGACTAAAAATAACTAAGAACAAATCAACCAACATTATGTAAACTATATATACATCCATCCCCTAGTCTAGAGTTCAAGTTCATAATTTCATCCATCCCCTAGAAACAAAGTCTTCGTGTCATGAATCTCATCCCAAACAACTTGCATTTGTATACCTGCCATGAACAACAAATTTCAACCAAACTCTTCTCATAATTGGTACAAACTAGTACATTAACAACAATACTGCAGAAATGTAGGAAACCGATAATAAACTGGAATGTTCATGCAAAAATAGCTCAACAAAGCACATGTGAGAGCTAAGACAAATTAACCACAAACCCTTGGCTAATCTATCATCATCTGACTCAATGTAAGAGTCATACAATGTTCATTTTCTTACAATACATCGGCAGCAAAATAAAAGTTATGCATAGCAGCAGCTCTTTCATTCAACCTCACCTGAAAGTCTTTCTATGAAGAACTTCATCTTCCCAATATCTTCATTTCTAATCACGAGCCCTGCAAATGTTTGTAGCAACCAGTTACTAACAGCTAAATCCATAATCACAAATGTTAACTACAAGCTTCTTTGTCTCTTTGTCAAGAGCAAGCCATTATAAAGCAGAAAATTTGAACACCAATATTGTATAATTCAAGGTCATCCAGAAGTTTCCAGTCATATACAACATCAAAGACACCACGTCATAGGCCCTGATGCAACCAATAACAAAATAAAAGGCAGCTAAGAAATGTATAAAGGATAATATAATCATATGAATAAAAGCTGGTAACACATTGAGCTACTAAAGTGAGCAAAAAAGAGAATAGGAAAACACCTTTTTCATAAAAACCAATCTATATTTGCTTCTGAATCATACAATTTAGCAATTTCTGAAACAGAGAAGTGCAATTGGGTTAGTTGATGACACTGGAACAAGAAGCAATATAGTGTTTAATTTTACTACATTGAAGCCATAAACTGAGCCCATCTACAAGCTATAAATCAACTGCATCTTTGGAGCTGCAACTAAACATTTCAATGGCAATGAGACACAGGTTACTCTATATAATCTCAACAACAAATAGCATAGGAGTCTTGTTGAAAAAATTGGGATACCACTTGTGGATGGTTTCCACTAGCATTAAGCAACATCAATCTAAGCTTGCACATCTGGTTTGCTGCCAACTACAAACAGAACATGCCAGTCACATCAAACTCCACGGCAAACTAACCCAGATTTACCCGTGATACAATATAGCATATAAGCAACCAATGTTAGAGGCCCTCCATCAAGTGACTCCATCAGAAGACAGAGAGGAAGGAAAGTGAATCCAGAACCTGCATCCAGCAAAGGACGGGGATGAGAAACATTAACCTTTCAAAAGAAAGTCTCTTATACCTATAACATGGATGAAAAAATAACCCAAAATAGAGTAAGCTTAGGCCTCGGTTTTGATGGATAATCGAGTAACTAGAATTCAAAATTGAAAATCACATGTCAAAAATCAAAACCTCAGCTCCGATGGAAAGAAAAACCGGAATCGATAACACGTGAGCTTCATGGTGATTTGACTAAGAGAAGAGTAGAAAATGGAATCATAACACGTCAGAAGCACTTCCAGTTTCAGAGGCAATCTGTGGACGACACTGACCTTCAGCAACGCCTGAGCAAATTCCAGTGAGATCGTTGGGACCTGGCCCGCCGCCGTGTGCTTTCAAGAACAGGCCGTAGCAACTCTCATAGCCCAATGTCACCGATGAGACTTTCTCATACTGAATCCAGAGTAGATTCCCCTACAAATAGTCCACCAGCAAACACTGGGATAAAGAAAGTAAAGTTCAAACTCAATCATCCGAAAAAATTGGGGAAATTTGAAACCCTAGGAATTGAAAACGACCGCTAGAGTTCTCAATATTGGCGAATTCAAGGAAAGAAGAAGGTAATGGTCGATTCCTACTTACACTAGCATCATGTTGATTATGACTTGGTCGGCGTATTTAAGGAGCCTGCATAAGGGAAGGCGGGTAGTGCTGATGATGGGTTGGGCGGCGATTTGGACAGGGAGTCTCGTCTTCACCAGCTCCTTGAAGAGCTCGACCCGCAAGGCGATGACGGCTGAGACGAGGATGGTGGTGAGGAATTTGGGAAGGAGAGAGAGTGGTTGGTGACTGAAAAAACAAGGGCTTTTGATTTCTGGCGATGTGAGGGGCTGCGATTGATCTCTGGGAAGAAAGCTAGCTTTAGTCTTACCATACAGGTTTGGTAAAGTTAAAGAGATTGTAGAAACAAAAAAAAAATTGAAAATATATGGCAAAAGGAAGGAGGGGCGGGACTTGAAAATTTTAAGCGCTGGAATATTGAGGGCTTGGCGGGTCAAAAGAATCACATAAGCTTTTAGTCTGGTATTTTAATTTTGTAGACTGATGGCGGGATAGCTGAAATTTTGGAATGTGATGGAGGGAAATTTTTTTGGATTGTGGTGGCTGGAAGAAAGAGCGGGAGTGCCCAATTGCTTGCCAAACATTTTGGTAAAGAAGTTTGAATGTTTCATTCTAACAAGATTTGTGATTGTGGAATTATTTTCTTTTGAATAATGGGAAGCCAAAATTATTTTTTAATCCTTATTGATTTTATCTCAAACTAGAAAAGATAAATTATCACATTATTCATGGTAATTAACTGTGACTAACAATTAGTCACGGGAAATGAAGATAAAATGCCTGTAAATTCATTACCGTGATCGAAACTATACTATCGATTACAGGAATATTTCCCGTGATTATTAGTATACTTCTTAATACGGTATAAATTCTTGTGAATAAGATCCCGTGTTTAAAAACTAGTTTTCCTGTAGTGATATCAGAAGTAACTCCCCCCTCCCCTACCAAGAGACCAAACACCACCTAGATTCAATCAAAGAAATTCGTCCCACTTATACACCATTAGGCCATTCAATTATATAGCAACATGACAACAAACTAAAACATTAAAAAGTATACCTAGGTGCATGACTATTATCTTCAAAAGCAACCATATATCAAACCTAAAGGGCTTCCCATCATTTTCGTAGTAACGTTCAACACCTCAACCCTTATTCGGCCGTCACCATCTTAATGCTAGTCCTCTTACCGGTCATCATACTATACAACTAAAGACTGTATGAATAACCAAATAAGGAGGAAATTCTATGATTGATATGCAAAAGCGTACAATAAAGGAAAATTCGTTTAGAAGTGGCAAGCCAATGAATATAAACAACAAAAATCTAGTGAGTTGAAGGAACACAATACAGAATATCAGAATAGAGCTCATCACAATAACCTCATGTTTCTAATTAGTTAAAATACTAATCAAAAGGCGAATGTGATTGGAAAAGGCCCAGAGCATTCAACGCAACAAAAGAAAAGGTATGGTTGCAATTAGAAAATTAACTTATAAGAAGCATGAAATTTGGGAGGCCTTCAAAATTGCAAAGAAGAACTAAAGGCAAGCAAAATTACATGGATGCATATTGGTTGCAGCCTCATACATGAACTGAAAATATAAATTTTATAACGGAGGAACATAATTATTTTCTATCCACATTTATCTAAAAAGAAAGGCAAAATAAAAAGAGCTGTTGAATTGACTTTCGTGAATCTGCGAGAGAAAACATACCATTCTCCATCAAAACCTCATTACTGGTCTCTTGAGGGGCAACTCATGTCAATTAACTCAAGAGGCAGCATCAGCAATTATAAGTAATTTGTAACTCTTTGGCAGTTTAAATGGATAGGTGTATAAAACACTCACACATGCATTCTGCTAATTCCCAACATCTGAACTGCCCTAGCAAGATTTTCGCAAAATAAGCAATCAGACAGTAGGACGTAAGTATACAGACTCCATTAAATCTAAAAAGGGGAGAAGAAATCAAACTCCTTACAGCAAGCACTATACAACTAATAAGGTCTCTTGAATGACATGATAAGTTTCTACCCTTCCCTAAGCCATCATTGCACAAACGTCCATTATTCGACGGAAGCTTCAGGAAATAATTGATCGAGTAGTTTATAATGTCAATGCTAACAATGAAATAAAAAATTGACCTGGGTGCAGAATCGCCCAATTGAAATCTAGAAGCAACATCAGCTGCAGCTTTAAGAGTATACCCAGACCCAAGCATGCACCATGTTGGATTCATTGAAAATGAGATACATGAATCGTTACTTCAACTTATGGCCATAAATCCTCGTAAATAACAAAAGCATTACTAAACTTGATCGCACCTCAACATTAGAGCTACGTAAGGTATCTCAAAGAAATTGCCTGATCCATTCATCAAGGCTGTAAGGAATCAGATCTAGATCATACACAATACCACCTACAACAGCAGCAGTATAAAAAAATGCAGCAGCGCCAATTAAAACACAAATGAAGCTAGTAAGAGAAGAATTCTGAATAAAGTGGCCAACAAAAATAGAATAACTACATAAGGGAACACAATAGCAGGCAGCAACATCAGAACTGCAGCACAACGAACACGTAAACACACACGAAACAGTAGAGGGAAGCAACCGAGAGGTTTGATGTAGGGCACTCTTTGACGATTCTACAATAAAGATGTAACATATGAATGTAATATGGAAGCTATGCATTCAATGTAAAAAAAATAGGAAGTTCGAGAATAAAATCCATGACAGTAGTAGTTCCAAGTTCAGACATTCTATGTAATTTTCTAATATAGGGATTCATATGAGAAAAGCATCAGTGAAAAGAGATAGCAAGCCAAATCATCAAAGAATTCCTGGAAGACAGCTAACCTGCTCACTTGCTCGTATTTCAGTACTCATATGATTCTCTAGTGCAAATAATGGACCTACCCATCCCGCTCCAACTGCAGCCTTATCCCCAAACATAACACATAAGTCTGGAAACAGAAAGCAAACGGTCTGCTAATTTATATTACTTATTATAGCATACCACTTATAGTTGAACAATATGTAGTATTATGGAGCATTGGGAAGATGATGTTGAGGAATATCACGGTGGTAGAAAAGTATGCGGGATTTGGCTCTAGTTATGAAACTATAAAAGCACTAAATAGTTCAGTCATGACTGATGCAACATTTTCCTTCTACATATGCAAACTGAGGTTTATATATACATGAACATAACTTGTTCTAACATTTTCTATCATTTCTGTTTGTTTTTTACCTCCTCTTTTATTTGTGCCATCGCAACCAACTTTCCTTAAAGGAGTTTGATATGTGGCATCTAATCCCACATTTGGATCCTGGTGTGCCAACTTGGAGGAGTTTTTTCAGGATCTGCACATATTTGAGAATAAAGGATTCAGAATCAAAAGTGGCAGTATGTTACAGAACAAACTCATATGTTCTAATCAACATCCCAAAGGATCGGTTTCATCAACATAGAGTTTTTTCTTATCGCCTACAAACATTAAAAACCCTTTTCCATTCATAAAATCTTCACATGTGTAAAGATAGAATCAGAGAAGCAGGAATTTAAAGTTCTGCTCTACCTGTTTCGGTGATGGAACTCTGTCAAATCAAGCAACCACTTAACTGTGATAATCACAGGCGGTCCTTGCTGTTATTCAGACCGCTCACAACTCTCTCCATTGCAATAGCTTTACCAATGGGAAACCTGCAAGTCTAAAAATCCATTAGCATTCAGATTTAAAAAGTGATGGCCAAGCATCGCAATGCAGGTATTTCAAGTAAAGAAAACAAATCAGAACCCACCCAAATGGCTGAAAGTCCATGAACATGTACAAACTTAAGCCAAGCATTGAAATGTCCTCATCTCTCCTAGATTTACAATTCTTTGAAGCTGTCTTTGTGGCACCAATTTCGCAGCTGGTCGACAAACATTGCAATGTCCTCCCCAGCCCCCCCCCCCCCCCCCCACACACACTTACATTTCCCGGAAGTTGACTCTGTAATGTTTGTTTAAGTGCATCTTCTTCAAAAAAAAAACGAAGGTAAGGTACATAAAACAATCTCACCTTTTTTTCAGTGCACCAGGCCCTTCAGGTTTCTTGAAATCCTCTTTGAAAGAAAGTTTATACTTCCACTACTTCTATCCATGTTGATACCAACTGCACCCTGATTCATGTTATATGCATTAGCAATGACACCTATGAGGAATTTTGCTAATCAGACCTCTACATCATAATTTACACATCTCATTTCGGGGGTGTTAAAACTGACTAATTATTATGAGAAGACAAAAAGATCTTACAGACTTCTGCAAGTCTTTTTGACCAAGTTTTTGCTTGGTATGCAGTGTAACTTAACATTCATGTGTGTACTGTGAGATGGAAACAAAGATTACGGAGACCATACTGAAAACAACATACAGTGTCATGGTCTGCCTTTAATGAAAAGAATTGTAGAAAGAAACCCAGTCCTAACAATAGAGCTCTATGTAGCATAGTGCAGCAACCATAAGTTGCCTTGAATATAGACAGGTTATCGGTATTTGTTTCAGCAACCTGTTTGAGCTTGTATATGTCAATGTTTCATTTGGAGAATAGAAAAGCAAAGTAACTGTAAGCAAAAATACATAATGAGCAACATATCACAAGAAAGGGAAACACAAATTTCAAGCTGAACAGTGTCAAAGAGGCATGATGCAAAAACATAGCATGCGAGCCTCCTCTAACCGGATTAGAAATAAACATGATCAAACACAGTGAGATTCATTATGTGCTACCTAGCTAGATGAAGCAACACCGAAAGTCAGAGCAAAAGAAAAGTTTGTTGCCTTGCAATGAAATCTAAGGAGAGTAATTCCAGAAGTATATTTTAGTTCACACTTAACCATTTTGATTGTTTGAGCAAATTCCAAACATAATAGTTCATTCATAATGTATTACCTCGGTAGATAAAGCAACACTGGAAGTTAGAGAAGAGGAAGAGTTCGTTACCTTTTTTGGTTTCATCAGAGTGATACACTGGTTGAAAGTTCCCTCATACAAAAATCGATCCTACCACGTTGCACCTTTCCCCCAAGAGTGATTCATACATCCACTAATCAAAATATGTTTGCTTTGAAACTTCAGTTGCATTGCTCCTACCCGATCTCGCAGAACATATCTAACTTAAGCAAGCAAAATCTGTAAATTCCATCATAGAATCTGTGAGGCAAAAAGGAGTGGAAGTGTTGACCTGCAAGGATCAAATTATGGATGGGTGGCATAGGGAAGGAGCAGAGAAGACCAACATTGCTCTGGTCTTTATTATTGAATCCACAATTGCACTTACATCTTGAAACGGTGACAGCCGGGAGAAACAGAACCTCACTTTCCTTCATTGTTCAATGATTGCTCTTCCCTCCTAAAAGGAAAAGGTTTTTTTTATGAGTGATGGAATCAACAGAGTGTACTACTGGTCGAAAGAGGCATACACCAAACAAAAACACTGCAAACAAATCAATAAACCAGTGAAGTTCAACACTTACAATTATGTTATGCAAAAGCTCTTTTCTGGAATGGTCCTTTCATGTTTAAAAAGCTGATAAAGATGTAATCTTTCATTCTGTAAGCACTCTCCCACACCCCTGAGCACCAATACAAATGATTAGTTGACCAAAACTCGAGCTGGTTCATAAAGAATCTTACTATTAATGAAATCCAGAACTCCAAAAATATACTAAGCAAACCAAATGGAAAAAATGATGCACCTGCTCTTAGTAACTTCTCGAGGTTCCTATCATTTTGTTTTCCAGTGGATGATACTGCCATCTTTGTGGCTATTTCTCATTTACCTATGCCCATCTCCTCCAGATCATGTTTCTGGGAGGCAACTACCATGAGACTGAAGTCATGAGTATAAAAGATCAGGTCATATAATGCGATTTAAAGAAAGTAACAGTCCGTAAGTAAAGGGAACTGATCAATAGTCTGCTATTATTATAAACACAACCCCAGTAAGAAAATTGGTCTTATACATGCTGTCGTAGCTCACCATACACATATTAATTGGTTAGAAAACACATAAACACCAATATCGTCTGAAAGAAACTGCGGGTTGGGGAGCAATTGACATGAAAGATCATTTTTAATTTTTTTAACTTCCTTTTTCTTCTACTCTGAGATTCCAATAATACGCATCAAACTTCTATTTCTATAAAATACATAATGCTACGAATTCGAGATTATTTGCAGGCTAGGAAATCTCACCCTTTCGTAAGTTGGATCCAGAATAAGATTACTACAGTTCAGCCCATAAATCCTCAACTGCATGCCTGCAAACCACATGACAAGCACAATCATTTGGAGTTGTACTGGCTTTCTTTTGCTGTTTTTCGGTGCTGCTATTTGGATGAATCGTAAGGGTTCATTTAAGAGGTTTATCGTTTGCTATAGGGGTCTGTTCTGGGTTTTGTTAAGTAAGGGAGTAGGGATCAGGGTCGTTTCCTTTCCCTTTTCTTTCTTCCTTTCTCCTTGTATTAGCGTTTTATTTTCTTTTTCGTTTCTGGATCATCGCTTATGATCCGGGTGGTACTTGGAAACTTATTTTGGTTTTTTTTGCAATAAATTTTCACCATTATAAAAAAAAAGCACAATCATTTAGCGTGAATCAAAACAATATGCAGCCAAATCAGGATCGAGGAGAGTACACCCACAACCTGCAACAAACTGAAGCTAGAAAACCATTTAGTTAAGATCCACAATTCACATCTCTTACACAAGATGACCGTGGCTATGCTTGGTCGAGAGGCAGCAGAAAAATAAACTCTAGTAAATCTGTAAACCACCGCAAGATGAATTAAAGGAACTGGAAATCAACCGGAAGGAGGACTCTATAGGAAATTGCAGAAATCATTTTGACAGATTATGACAATAATGCAGAGCAACTCAGTTTCCTATATCCAACCAACTTAATAAAAACAATAGATTGAGACACAATTCCAACATGGACTCTTATACCCTTGTAAGGGCAGGCAAGGAGAAATAAATGCTATATATACTGTTGATAGAGACCCTAAAAACAAAATAAAAAAAACATTAATGATCCAGAGAACCAAAATAAACTTCATAACCATCCAAAAGCAATTGTTCATCTCGAAAACAAATAAACTATTCAAACTACTCTATTGATTGGAATACAACCATAAAAGATTCCAAAGTATCACTACTGCTTAAGACTTCAATTCCTCTACCTTCAAAACTCCAAAAGAACATGTATAAACCATCACCATCACAAGATGATGTTACTGACCTGCTATATGTTGCATAACCACAAAATCATACTGTTGCATTCTGCTTAACCATACCCAAGGAATATGTATAAGTGACACGCCAAAACACAACACCAAACTGCGACCAAGTGTAATCGCAGTCCGGGAATGCAGTAACAGGCAAGTTCTATTATCAACCCGGGGTCTAGATCTACTGCTTACTCCGTGATTATCTATTATCTAGCCAACTAATTCGATTGATTGTTGTTTAAAGCAAAAGCAGTAAGAAAGCAGGAAATGGTTCGATTTTCAAAAGAAGGAAAGAGTCACTCGGGTGTCGTCCTCCGCACTTGGAAGACCAATCCCAGCAGACTTTGAGAGCTTCGTCGTCGCCTTATACTTAAAGACTTCAACAACACGCCTCACATGTCCCTTCCCAGGGATAGCAGATCCAGGTCTTCACCTCTGGACGAGAGCCTTCTCATAGTCATCCTCTGCCTGCACCTTCATATTCACTTGAACTTTACGTGAAGGGAAGGTGTTGGGAGAGTGAGAAGATAAGAGGTCATCAGTAGCCTCATCAAACAGTACACCAAACTACTCCATCTCCGAACCCCATTTTCGACCACTCATCTTTGTCTCCGTAGCAGCTTCTCTTCCTCTTATTTCATGCACTAATACCTTAGCCTTCCCCTGCCTCTGTGTAGGTATGCACCCACTACCATCATTCCTGCCAGACTCACCAGAGTCACACACAGAATCCGTACAATCCATCTTCAGTGGTCCTTCCTTGGGATGTCTCCCTCCATATCGACCCTTTCCCTCCATGTACGAAAAGCTTCCATCCCTTCTCCCCAATGAATCAGGAGAATTATGTCTTCTGTTAAGCCCTTTCGACTCCCTGGGTAGCTGAACCATTCGGTCCTTCTCTTCAGTCCTCCTGTGCACCCTTTGGATCTTAGGCGGTTTAGCCATCACGAATCCATGAGGACTTATTCCTTCATTCCTCTTGTCCTCCTTGTGCCTTCCCTGGTAAATGGAATCCCTTGTCTTCTCAGATCTCCTGGTCGAGTCACCTGCATGCTTCATAGGAGGAGGCTTCACAACCTTCTCCTTCTGCTTACTAGGCCCATGTGTCCAGCATCCTCATTCCTATAGCCTCCGACTTGATCCAGACTAAACTAGAGGCGCCATATAGCAATCTGTTGTCCTCCTCTTTAGTCGACATGTGTGTCCCAAAGTTCTCCTTCCCTTGTGGGGGATCAAAATCACATGTCTGGAAGCAATGTCCGACACGCCCGCATTTGAAGCAAAAGCTGGGTAGAAACTCATATTTCAAGCAAACCCAAAAACACCCAGTTTCGTCACTTAAAGCCATGATCTGGGAGCAGAGAGGTTTGGTGAAATCGATGATAGCTTTCACCTTAATGAAATTCTGTTTCTCAACATGGCAGGCATAAACCCCTACTTCAAGGACCCTCCCAACGGCCGACTGGATCATTGTTTGCCCAAATTTAGGGTTACAACAATCTTCTTTCACATCCCAGAGCTGAATATTGAATGGAGCAGTCGCCATGTCATCAA